AGTTGTAAGAGCTGTGAGGGTTGAGCTAGATTGTGAAAAAAACATGATGTCATTTTATGCGTCTGACCAGATGCCTCCTGAAAAGCATCCTACACTTATAAAAACACTGAGTGTTTATTTGAAATCCCCCTTCTATGCTGGCTTTTGCCTTCTTCAAGGCTCCCTGACACTCCTGTAGTGATAAAAGTGATAAGAGAAATGAGATTATTATATTGTTGGATTTCAGTCACGTATAGAGCAACAACAGTGATGTGCAGAAGGTTGAAGCTAATTTGAAATGTTTTAAGCAGCAGTTGGGGTTTGGAGCTGTATTGGAGGCTGCGTAGGCACCAGGGTGAGCCTGCAGTGGAGTTTTCCCAGGACCTGGAGGGAGGAACAAATATTGCAACTGTCAGACTGAAAAGGAAAGCACAGTGTGACAGGAGAAGTATATCACAGAAATAGATCTGCAGTTATTGAACAGGCCTATCTTTAATTTGAGAACAAGGATTTGTTTGGTGGGATCTTTTATTGAGACAGCTTTATAGTTAGGAGACCATGCTAGACAAACTTTCAGGTATAAATTTCCTCAGGAGATGATCTGAAGAATGGCATTTTGTGCCTGGAAGTTTGCCTACATCTTCTCCCACATATATAGCTGGTTCCATAAAAAGATATCGCTAAACACATCCTGGTTCTCTCAGATTCCCTGGACCATCAACAACATCCCAATTGTATCCCCTGTCCTTAGTATACAGAAATGAATAGACAAGAGCCTTAATAACTTATCCTGTGATTAAAAAACCCCCCAGATAATCTGCAAGGAAACTTTACTGTGTTTATAAGTTTGTTTATGGCGTACGAGGCTATGCTGATTGAGTATCTTACAACAAAATATATTTGCAGGCGCTGTGAGTTTACAAAGACACTGTGCTGTCTATGCAGCTTCTGCCCTGCATAACAAGCAAACATAAAATAGCAAAAAGCCATCTTTGCCTCTGCCTTCCCAGCCTCCACCCTTGGCCTCATGCCCCTGTGTTGCACCTCCTAAAATAGTCAGCATAGAGCCTTGTCCAGTATGGCCAGTGATTAGAGCCAGAGAGAGACCAGGAAGCCAGAGAGAGGATGGCTCAAGATTGGAACGAGAGAGACTTTCTCTGACCCACACTCCCTCTGTGCAGTCTTGGGTCACTTCAGCTCCATTTTTCCTCTGTTTGAAACTGAATTAAGAGGGAAATGACATTTGTCTACTCTTGTAAAGGGCTTTTTCTGAATAAAAACATTGCATGTGTATCCAAAGCCTTGGTAGAGTGGCTGTCTTTTGTCTGAGCTGTATCTCTTCTTGTTACTTGGCCTAGCCCACAGCTTCTGGATATGAAGTTACTGCTTGTAGGCTTTGCTGAGAAAGGGTGTGTGACATGGTGGTGGAGAAGGATTGGTTCTAATTATTTAATTACATTTCACATTCATCACAAGAGGCCAAAGGTTCATACAGTACTAAACCTCCCACCAAAATATGCACTAATATTCCCAGCAAAGGCAATAATAAAGGAAGGAACAACCATAGTCTCATCACATGCTGACTTGGGGACTAGATAGGTCCCTTCCTCACTGAATTTGTAGGAAAGGCCTTAGAAAACAGATCCCCGTCAGGTTCATTTAAACTCATCTGTGGGGGGGTTGCTGCATTGTAGGCTGGCCAGAATGACTGATCCACAGTCCTGTGAGCCAGGGGGACCTGTAGAAAGCCAGCAAAATTTCTACAGGGCTGTATGCCAACTCTGCATCCCTGTCACCTGGGTCACCCCTCCTTGCACATGGTTCTGATGATGCAACATACATCTGGACTATCCTTGGCCCCAGAATCCCTTGAAGGGAGAACCCCATCTGGCAGGAAGCGCCACAGTTCAAGCCTGTGCTGTCTTTCCTACCCAAATTCCAGGGGATCAGAAACGGAAGATTAGGTTGTACCCCTGCCCATCTTCCCCCATAAGGAGAGACGCACTGTATTTGTAAAGGGGAACTAGGACACCAGGCAGGTCAGGGCCTCAAGAGCTTCGAGGTAGAAGTTCTGTAGTTAGTAAGGAGGGGGAGTGACTGAGCAGCATTATAGATAATGCTGGTTTGTGTACGCTTGTAAAGTTCCTTGTTCAGCTGTAGAAGAAAGTGCCCCTCCTTTGCCTTTTGCACTGTTCTACAACAAAATAACATGAAAGAATGACACAGGCACAGCAGGGCCCCAAAAACCCATGGTCACCAAATATGCACCAACATGTGTTCCCTAAATGTACCAGGCCAGCATACTTACCTACCTACGTACTGCTGCCCTGGGTGGCTATGCGTGGTTTCTCCAATGTAGTATGCTGTGCCCATGACTAGAGGGGCTTACAAACTTTAATGTGATAGGACCCTATTTCCACACACTCTAGTACAGTGGGTCAGATGGGCAGTGCCAGGTCCTTTGTGAGCCAGATCTAGCTGGTGGTTTGGATCTGATGTGCAGAGCAAGCATAGCAAGGGCCTGTTCTGCGAAGCACATGGGGCACAGCAACAGCCCAGGTCTGTTCTGGCCACCTAAGGGTTGGGGGCAGTGGCCTGCCTCATCCGGCCACACAGGGGGTTGCCTGAGCCCAATCCAGCTGCTGCAAGAGGGGGTAGAGAGACCCGGATCCAGCCTCACAGCAGCAGCCCAGGCCAGGCCCCAATCCAGCTACATGGGGCTTGAAAATTTGGCAGCGGAGGATGTGTGGTGATGTCAATTGCTTCCCAGCCACCAAATTTCCTGACCCGTGGGGAGTCCTGTGGGCCAGATGCTATGGCTCTGTGGACCCACGGGTTGAGGGTTGAGCTGCCTTGCTGTAGTCAGCAGTTTACCAACAGCCACAAGTCCCTTCTATAGCTGTGTGGATGCAAGATGTGTGTCAGCAACTTACTACAAGAGATTTTCTGGTCTAACTCCAAACTGTGTCTCTGCTTGTGAATTGTTTGTGTGACCCATCCTGCTTTTGGAAGGATGAGGACTTTAAGGCTGAGTAAAATAAAGTAAGTTGCTAGCTCAGCCCAGCCAGGCCTCACTTAGGAAAGGGCGACTTGCTAAGCTTGCTTAAGGGTTTCATTTTAAGTTTCTTTTCCACTTTCTTGGTGAGGTGGGGGAGGGAGGAGACAGGGTGTTTGCAGAGTTTCCCTCAGAGTTAGTAAAGCCTCACTCCCATCGCCCGCTTCCTGCAACCCCGTCAGTCATTTGAAAGAGGGTTGGAAACAGACAGAGGTGTCTCAGACTGCGTAGCAACGCTACAGTGGTGCAACATTAATGGGTCAGCTAAGCACACAAAGAATCTGGGAAATGAATTCCCCTGTGGGATGCGGGAGGAGTTATTACCATTTCCAGCCAGAGAAGACACAGCCCAGAAGGCAGGTTTCTGTGACTCCCTTATATGGGGAAAGAGGAGGTCTTTCAGACTTCCAGCTTGGTTTTGCTTGGCTTCCTTTATTTGGCATCCGGCACTGAGCTCAGCAACTTCCCCTTCAGTTTCATTTCTCAGCAACAGGCCAGGCTGGTCTTTCTATCTCTATGGCAGAGGCAAAGGAAGAGTTTAGCAAGGCTGCAGACTTGGAAGATGAGCTCAGCTGCCCTGTCTGTCTGTGCCTCTACAGAAACCCCGTTTCCCTGACCTGTGGCCACAGCTTCTGCAAAGAATGCATCCAGAAAGCCCTGAACGCCCAGCAGCAGTCCAAGACCACCTACTTCTGCCCCATGTGCAAGGTCGAGCTGGGGCCCTTCCTGGAGCTGCATAAGAATTTCCAGCTCTGCAGTATCGTGGAGACGTTTAAGGCCACCGTTTCGAAGGGAAAGCAGGGCAAGGAGAAAGGCACTCAGAAAAAGATGGTTCCCTGCGATTTCTGCCTGGAGCAGTCTCAGACAGCAGTGAAAATCTGTCTGACCTGTGAGGCATCCTTGTGCCAAGCCCACCTGACCAAACACAATGCCAAGATTTTACAAAGAGACCACGTCTTGGTGGAAGTCACTGTTGGCTGCTCCCTGGAGGACAGGAAGTGCTGTGAACACAGCAAGCTCCTGGAGTGCTACTGCGAAGATGATGAGACCTATATCTGTGTGTTGTGCTCCATCACGGGCTCCCACAAGGGCCACAGTGTCATCACCATGAAGGAAGCATATGACCAGGAACTGGTAAGGGGCTTTCAGCCTGTCTTTACTCTGTGGGTGCAAATTTCAGGGCAAATGATTATCTAAAGCTCCGGTGAGGCCACCCAGCAAGCACATCGTCACACCTTGAGTGTGGGGTGTGGGCACAGTAGGGTTGCCACAAAGAATTCAGGGAAGGGGATCGGAGACGAAGGAGGTAAGTCTCTCAGTGGTCTCAGCGTTCACTCTCATAGTGAGAAAGTAGGTGATAAGGGCACTACAACTTAGTCTTGACTGTGTCTTTTAATGAGCTGTGTCAGACTGGGTTAGACAGGAGGCAAACATTGTAGCAAGGCATGAGGATAACAGTATCAAAGCATGATGGGGGCATCATCATTTGTGGACTGGGGCAGAGAGGGGCAAAAGATGCAACTGCTTCTGTTTTGGATAATGCAAAACCTCATTGGTCAGGCCTGGACCGCAGGGGCTACAGGGGTCTCAGGAAGGAGGGTTCAGATCCAGGACCTACCAATTTATGTAATGTGACTTGGTAAATGCATGCCTTCCATGTGCTCACTGCAGGGTCAGTCACTGTTCAGCACAGGCGTGCATGCAAACTGTTAAGGTTATGCAGCTGAATATGGTAATCTTACCTGGCAAGATTAATAGTGAGTGTCCTTACCCATGCAGAGGCTAGATAACCCTTGTGATATAGCTGGAAATAGACTATCACGACTGTTAAGTTCCTTACTTAACGAGGAATACTAAGACTTACTTTTTTCCAGGCCCAAAACCTCAGGCTGTTTTATTTAGGAATAAACAACACCTAACTGGGCAAACAGAAGTAACTGGATCAACAGAGGGTGGAGTTCTGGTCTCAAGCTCCATCCCATAATAATAAGGGCTAACACTTTAACTCTATAATTGTTCAGTTACTACAATGACTCTCTTGGGCTTTGGGTGGGGAAGCTAGGTCAGTGATTTACCAAGAACATTCTGCCAGCATCCCCCAACCCCCCCGATTCTGGTCGGGATTTTTAGCTTGACCATCTCTGCTGCTCTCAACAGCTCTGGGATGATACTGAGAAGGGTGTTGCTCTGAGGTACCCAGAACTCTATGACATATAGGTCAAAATTAATTCCTTGAAGTGCACCCATTAAATTAGGTGAAGGCCAGTATAGGGTTAGGAACAATGATATAACATGCCTCCAGGGAGCATCAATACAGGGCAGCTACATTCTGTACCGCATCTAAAGTTACCAAGTGGGGCTTCGGTTGGTGGCTGTGTATAAGCTCATTATAGGAACCCACTCTGGAGGTAGTAAAGGTCTGGATTATTCTGGCGAGGGGCAGAGAACAGGTCACAACCTCTTGAGGGCAGTAGAAATTAGCCAGAAGCATTCACCTGGGTTCTATGAATTGGGAACCACGCTTCTCCCGCAAGCAGGATAAAAAGTCAGAGATGACACTGAAAAAAATTTTCCAGTTTGGGCTCATCTTGATTTTGCAGGATGGTCTGAGTAGCTCCATGGTGTAGAGAGCAGAAGAATGTTCCTTGACCTTCAAATCCAGTAGAAGAGTGTAACTAGTCAAATGCCCAGGACTTGCATCCTTGATGCTAGTGGCTCAGCTAGCCTCTGAATTGTTGGGTTTGTTTTATGTATGATGGATACCGAGGAAAGTCAGGAGTATCACAGCTCAAGATGAAATGCAGGAAGTGCCTGCTGCAAAATAACATCCAAAGGACTTGGTATCTCCCTGTCTTTTAATTTTTCAAAGCTTAAAATCTGTCCTGCTTTTGGCAAATGTCACATGGAAGGTCTAACCTGTTATCAAAGGAAGACAGGAATTCCTTGACTGGATGAGACTCATACGCTGTCTAGTCCAGCATCTTGTTTCTGAAATCAGACATCACTGGAAACTTTGGGTGTTGAAACCTCTCAGAAGGCAGAGATAGGATAATGTTTCCCCCAACACATCTCCCCCTGATCAATAATGGTGAAAAATGTTCTTAACCCCAATGGCCTCAAGTTTAATATGCCCTTCAAAATTTGTCAAAATTAATGAGCACCATGGATATTTTTGATAGCCATGTAAATAATTAGCTAAATTCATATAGTTACAAATCTTGGGCCAGTTTCACAAAACCATCCATGCTTGCTATAACTTTTTCCCAGATCTTGCAAATGCTGACACATGAATTTAACAGAACTGATCTGTGTAAATTTATTGTGTGTCAGAGTCTGCAGGAATGGGGCCTCATTGGTAAGTGAGGATTTATACTTCTCCACTTCTTAACTTACAGTATCTTGGATGGATGGATGGATGGATATTTCTGACTTTATGGATTTCACAAGTGTCTAGCTTTCCACAAATCCATGGAGCTGTGAGAGGGCTGGGGACACTTCTTTACTATGTGGCTCACTGTAAACAATCTGGTGCCCACCACAGGAGATGGATAAAAAGGTCATTTACTCGTTCATCAGCTCCATGAAAGTGCCAGCCTGTTATGAAACTACCTATGCTACGTTCCCTTTGCAATGCGTGATGCTGTTTTCCCTTTAACTAGGCTGTTCTGTCTGAGACTGTGAAATCAATAAGGGAAAACAGAAGTGCCCTGAATAAAGCCTTGGAGGAGCTACAGAAGAGTGAGAATCAGCTCAAGGTTTGTCCCTGGTTCCCAGCTAATTCAAAGCATCTTTCTTTAATGATCTGTGAGAAATAAATAATGGTATTTCTGAGCAGGTTTTGTTTCTAGCAACCTTTCAGACTGACAGCCTGTGAAGACAATCCAATGCTAAGCGTGTACCACTAGTACAGGCCTCTGCAATTGCTAGCAGTTATGGAAGAGCAATTTCACCTCATGTTCAGTCAGGATCTGAATGGACTAAATGTAGTTAGTTCAGAGAAAGGAACTGTATTGTGCCCTACCCTACAAAAAGTGAAGACATGTTTATTGGTGTTTCTGTTTTGCTTGTCTTACTCAGGTCTCAAAGCACTTTGGGGCTGAATATGTAAATTACCGTAATTCACACTAGGATCAGGTACTGGGCATGTCTATACAAGACATTTACTGTGCAGTTGACTAATTAAGCATGCAGTAAACATCTCAGCGTCTCCACGTGTGCCCCTGTTAGGGTTCATGAAGCTAATAAACTCTGCAGCAGGGTAGGATACAGTATACCCTGCTGCAAAGCTTTTTCATGTGCAGCAGTGCATGCGTAGATGCTGCCCCCGTTGGCTGGGCCATGAGGGTGCTTCAGTGTGGGGGCTGCCTGTGAGCTAGCCCCCCACTGAGCACCCTTGTGCCCCAGGCAGCCCCTCCACAGCACACTGAGACTGGTAGGAACAGCCCTGGGCTGCCAGGTTGACCCCCTAGATGTCTGCCAGCAGGGGTTCCTGTGACCTGGCTCAGTGTGCTGCTATCAAGGGACATGTGTAAACTGTGCACTTGGGAGCTTCACGGGAGCAATAAACTTCAAAGCTATTGCTGCGCGTTAACGACTCATGTAGATGCATCCACTCTTAATAAAGTCAATCTGCCCATCTTCAATCAACAATTAATTCTCACTCTGCTGTTTATGCAAAATAGATTCTTCTTCCCACTTTACGACTAGATAAAATTGAGGTACAGAGAGGCTAAGTGACTTGAGCAAAGGCACAAAGCAGAGTCAAGAACAGAACCCAGGAGTACTTCCTGACTCCCATCTCCTTTTTCTGCTCACTATACAAACCACTCAGCAATATTTGAACAGCAGTGCACAAGCCACCATTGGTTCTTCAACTTACCACTTGCAGCCCGTAGCTGAACAGGTTATCAAAGTTTATTTCTATTTTTTTTCTCCTGCCCATATTGAGCAGTGCAACAGTCCTGTTGGCTTATGTTTATATTAACTAACAACATACTATAGGTTTTTCCTTTGAACTGGAATGTGCATGCTGGAGTTCACCTAAGGGTGTATATGTCATGTGGCTCTTCGGTTAATGCTGACAGCTCATGTGACTCCAAACTGAAAGCCAGTGCTTTCTGTATAACATAACGCTTTTAAAGCTTTCATGTTTTAAAGCTTGCTTTCTCTGTTAACAAAGATCTATATAAAAGGGTGGGATTTCTAGTACAAACCAATGCAAGATTCTTATTCTCAGAGTTTTCTCTGCCTTCCTTCCTGTCATCACATCAGGATAATTTTCAGAAATCACTGATTACTCAGGGATACTGTAGACAAGTAAGTTTTAAATTTTTATCTCCTTACTGGTGGTAAGGAAGATCAGGCTGGGGTAGCTGTGATGGCCCTTGCTGCACTATGTTTATACTGTATTCAGTCGATGAACTCCATGCTTCAGGGCTTCTGTTGGTTGTTTGGGAGGATCAGGAAGCACTTTTTCCCCCTTTCGGTGTATAGGGAAGTCATTTTTTGCTTTCTCTGAAGGATCAGAAATTTGCCATGGCTAGAGCTGGCATGTTGGACTGGTGTTTTTAGTAGCACTGCACATCTTCTCTGGTGCATCTTACTCACATGTTCAACATTAAACCAATTACCAGATTGGCAGACAAGTAAGGATTTTCTTCCAGGTTTAAATGGCAGAAATCACTGGGGTTTTTTGCCTTCCACTGTAGCAAGAGGCTTGCTCCACTACGCATATTTTTGTTAATAAATTCCCTCTCATCACATGGGTCCGTAGCATTGACAGCACCCTTGATCTTTTGTGCTCTCTTCCTCAAGGAAACTGAGGTTTCTGAGGTCTTTGTGCTAACTTTTCTAGGTCTCTTATAGGATATTTACAGGTACTTGGGGGATTGCAGTATCAGACTAGAAGCAGAGTTGATGCTTTTGTGGCCCTTTTGAACTAAACATTCACAATGTGATTAAGGGGGAAATGGACTCAGTGACCCAAGTTCCTTTGTTCATTCTTACTACAAAATGGAGATATTTTAATCATTAATAAATAAGTACACTAATTGCCTTATCACTTCTAGATCAATACGAAAACCTTGACTACTCAGCTGTCCAACCTTTTCAAGGAGATCAAGACAGAGGTGGAGCAGAAAGAGAAGCAGATCCTGTGTGACATACAATCCAATGAGAAAAAGCAGCAGGCTGACCTTCTCAAAGTGAAGAAGCAAATGGAAGAGCAGAGAGACAAAGCTACACAGAGTCTTCAGGAATTGCAGATGATGAGAGGGCAGACAGACTCCTTTCTCTTCCTCAGAGTAAGCAGATGCTTTTGGCGCTTATTAGTGAATGAATATTTAAAAGGTGCTCTGTTTCCAGATCATTCTAAAACACACTTTTACATCTGTTTATTTTGTAGGAATTTAAGTCAGTGAAGGACAGGTAAGTCCCACTCCAGAGCATTTATCTTGTTTTTTAGTCTGGTAGTGCGTTGGCAACACTAAACCTCTCTCTGCATCCCTCACAATTATTCTAAAGCCCAATGGTCAAGAAATCAAGGCTTGAAGTTTAGTCAGACAAAGCCCTGGGCGAGTCAGAATTCACCACTCTCAAATTAACAGCAGTGAATATTCACTTGTAGTTCCAATGATGCCCCCTTAGTGTTCAGTTTCTTGAGCAGCTGGCTGGTCACTCAACTGTGAGGAAAGTTTCTGTTCCTTACCAAGACCTAAGGAAGGGTACTTGGTACCCAAAAACTTGTCTACATCCTTCCCAACTATACAAGTCCACCAGATGTCTCCCACAAAAATCCTCATCTGTTGCTTGTTAACATATTAATGCATTTAAGAGAGGCAAGCACAATGTAAGGTTTATCTGTGTGGAGTGACACTCCAGCATCTCTATATAATGCTCTTGCATAAAGCTGGTAATAGGCAGCCATCCATGCTTCTGGTGTATGTCGTATGCATGAGAGGTCACCAGGACCTTCCATGCTTATACCTAGGCAGGAGTATGGAGGAGTGAAGGCTGCCCAGATCTTCCATGCCCCCCTTTAGACCAAATCAAAGGCTAGACTAAGTCCAGACATTCAGTGCCTCACTGGCTGTACTTAGATGTGCATGTAGGAATTGATCCTGGGTCTCCCACAGGGCAGACAAGGCTCCTACTG